TTTTTTTTTTTTTTTTTTTTTTTTTTTTTTTTTTTTTCTCTCTCTCCCCTCAGTCGAACTTTTTAAACCAAATATTGTCACACTGTGCCATGGTGGAGATCTCCACAATAGTTGATTATTGTAAATAACGAGGGGTTCAGCATCTTTCAAATCCAACCTATCAATATTGTCACCATGTGAAATTTCTATTGCTGTGCACCTATTAGCATTATCATTACTCTCTCATTCTCCATTAGCCTACTCAGTACTGGCAGAAACTCTACAGAGAAAATGACCAGCACCATAAGTTACCTTCGGATGATGAGAAAAGAGTGTTGAACTTGATGCATCGTGCATAGATGAAAGAAAATTGACAAGACTATATCCGATCACTACTTAGCTGTTGAAAGAGTCACCACTCTTGACAATTATTGCATTGATGTCTCTGTCACCAGTCATGGCTCGTTTTATAGTTTTTGGGAATAGAAATAATTCCCTAGAAACCATGAAGGTCTAAAATTAACATTTACAAGTACAATTGCATCTATAATTACATTATACATATGCGCCAAACATGGCTCAATGATAGAAGTTCAAGTTAAGTACTCTTCCTGTCCCGTAGGTGCGCAGTTTTTAAGAATTGACGAGTAAAATGCGTAGAAGTTGCATTCTGATTTATGTTTGTATATTTCCTGCAATGCAATTCTAATAGACACTTAAAAAGACTTCTATGTTGATCCTTTCTCTCTCTCACATAGATTAGAAGATGGTGAATATTACCTATCAGATCAATTGGTAATCCTTTGCTTTTTGAGTTTAGTTCAGAATAGAACCAAACTCTCCTCAAAGAAATAAGGGAATTTTAAGTTGACTTTTTGCAAGAAGATTCATGGCTATACACATCGATAATACATTTCTTAAGTGGCCTCCACCCCTTTGTTGTTGCCCATTTAATGAAATAACCTTACTTTTCATAAGTAGGATGTGGAGTTAGTTTCGGAATATCAGACCTGTAGGATAGGTGCCTTTTCCCCATTCAATGGCCATCTTAAGAGGAAACTTGTCGAAAAATTTCCAACGTTTCTCTCTCAAACCCCCCCCCCCCACAACAAAAACCCCACCCTGGTCCTTCAGAACCACACTGCCGACATTATTCAAGAGACTCGCAAGATTCAGATAAGGAAAAAGAACAATAGTTCTGTATCACAGAATCGGACTTCTGATATTGATAGCTTACGGCAACAGCCAATGATGCAGACACATATGCATACCGATTTGGAAACTCAATTGAAGGCATCTCGCGACGTAAGGTGGCAAATGTGTAGCACTGGTGTAAAAGTGGCACTTTGCATGTCTAGTGTGTCCTTTTATTGTACTAGTTCACGTTCAAGAGAATTAACTGATAATTCTCTATACCATCTCAAGTGAAGTATGCATTGCATTAAACGTGATAAGGATTGTTCAATACTAAATGGTTAATCCAATATTTAAAATCTTTTTTTAATTTATTGTGGTAACCATTCCATTTTGTGTCATGAACTGGATGCATCCCGTAATATGCCAGGGACTTGTAGGTTTCTTGACTGGTTCTTCTGTCCGTTACTAATCTATCGATCATGTATTCTTTTGTCAATGTTCTATTTTTGGAACTATGCAATGGTTGCATGTGTTATCCTTATTCTTCTTACTTATCCTGTTATGATTTTTTAGTTTCTATGGTTGCTTCCACCTGAAGTAAAATAATTTTTTCTCGTGTTTGCATTTTGTGGATTTCAAAATACATTCACTTCTGTTGCTATTATTTGTAAATTGGAATAAGCTGACATCTGGTGGGAAATGGTTGCCTTTTGTCTGTTGAGACTCTTATTGCCACGTATTTGTGTTGTTATGGTGCTATAAATCTGGTAGTGGTAGAAATATGAACAGGTGAATTTATGCTGTTGGTAGGAAGAGCATTGTATCTGTTGAAACTTATACCTCCTTAAATTTCACCCACATCTTTTAATATTTTTAGGTCAGACTTGTGATACAATAGTGAGATGCATGATAGGCTGTCCATTCTAAATTTCAGGTTGCAATGGCAATGGCTGCAAAAGCGAAGCTTCTCCTGAGGGAGCTGAAGACGGTCAAAGCAGACCTGGCTTTTGCAAAGGAGCGTTGTGCACAGCTAGAAGAAGAAAATAAAGTCCTAAGGGAGAGCCGTGAAAAAGGAGACAACCCAGAAGATGATGATTTGGTAAGTACTCTGTCTCTCTCCTCTCTCAGGACCCTTGTTGTGACATTACTCCTGCCATGCAATAGAAATATAATCCAAATCCCATGTCCCTCATTGTCACTGTTCTTCTATGTTCCCAGCGCCTAGCCGGTCCTTGCTCTCTGCTGTTTGTTCCACCACTCATAACCTTACTGCCATCCATTCACCATCTCCCCCTTTTCCAGCAATTTAAGCCCCTCCCCTCCCCTTAAAATGTTTTTTTAAATCTCCATCATTACTAGTGCAGTTTCTATTTTATTTTCTTACGAGTTTGTTATCTTCGGTTGTTTATGATTTCAATGTATTCATAATATATGCTGAGCAAGTCTTATGGAATATTTGGTTATCAGATAAGGGTTCAACTTGAGACTCTTCTAGCTGAGAAAGCTCGATTGGCACAAGAGAATTCAGTTTTTGCCCGGGAGAACCGTTTCCTAAGAGAGGTTGTTGAGTACCACCAGCTCACCATGCAGGATGTAGTGTATTTGGATGAAGGTAGTGAAGAGGTTACTGAAGTCTACCCTGTTAAGGTTTCTACAGGCGCTAATCAACAGCCACTTGGCACATTTTCTTCCCCTTCACCTCCTCCTACTCCTACTCCTACTGTTCCCATTGGGGCAATTTCTCAAGTAACTCCGGATGTCTCTCCTCTTGTTGTGCCATCACAAGAGCCCAAAGAGGTTCCTGAAACTATTGCCTCCCCAAACCCCTATATCCAAATGCCAGCAGATAATCTGAGAAGACAAAGTTGATTTTCCTGTAAGTGGCTTTGATTTGGTTTCCGTTCTGTAGAGAAAATGTTTGGAATTTGTATCAGTGTTGCTCTTTGTTATCACCTCTAACTTTGTTGTTATTATCTTGAAAGCAGCAGAAAGTGTTATTTATTTATTTATTTTCCCTTTTATTTTATTTGGGAGATGTGAGGATGAGTTTGAGGGGCAAGTTCAATGTGTATTTATTTTGTGCATCCTGCAACAATGTGAAAGGTTGATTAGAATTTGTATCACTGTATATCAATGACAGAACCCATTGATCAATATTTTGTCACTTTGATGGACAGAAATTGTACATCACTGGTTTAAATGAGTTTAATATTGTATGTTCACATTCTTGTCAATATTTGTGTATGTTTTTTAAAATTTAGATAATTCACTTGTCGAAATGGCAGTTCGAACAGTGATGTGATAAGTTCCATACTTCCATTACTCTCATCACCCTGAATTTTTTAGGAATGTTATACAAAAATAATCTGATAAAATAATGCTATGTAAGCATTAAAAAAAATTTAATTAGACCGTAGAAAAAATTAAGTATAAAATTAGAGCTGATACACATTTTATAAAGTAATCGGGTGAAACAGGTGGTAACAATTTTTAATTTTTTTATTCAAGAAAACATTATCTACTTTATTTTTCCGAAGCTGATTGGATGACATACAGGGTGAGGAGGTGAGTTTTGGCCGAATGTGAAAGATGGTGCATATATCATTCTTGATTCTTTTAAATTAAAAATTTATAAATATTATTTACCAAAATCCATTCTAATAATGTCTAAATAGTGGTATCTATCTATCTCCTATAATTTATATATAATATCTTGTACGGTTTAATTCAGCATGCCAATTTGCATACATGCTGGTAAAAAAATCCTTGCATCGTAAGATGGCAAATGGAAATGGAAGAAGGGAAGATATATTCGAGAACAGATCGAGGTTGTATTTTTTTAAAAGGAAGTATTATGCAGTCATGGGCAGATTGAGGAACTAGTGTATACAACTTTGTGTTTTTTTAAAAAGTATTTGTTGAATTAAAAAAAATAGCATTAGAATAATGAGTATTTTAAATGTAAATGAAGTGCTTGGTGTAATTTTCCCTTAAAATTTTAATAATGGCTGGACTTTTTGTAGTGTTAAACTGAAAAAATAAGAAAACACTGCCCAACAAGCAAAAAGACGTGCACCCTTTTACATCCAAGTGCACCTTAGACGGTCAATATAAAATTGTTAGCCTTTTGTTCCACCTTGTTGCTAAGCAGAAGCAGGGCATTTTCTTTGAGCCCGGAGTCCAATTGTGCCTTTTAGAACACTGATTTAAGCAAAAGTGATTCAACATGGTCAAGGTACATAAACTATTTTTGTAATAACTTTAATTCGGAACTCAAACCAAAAATTTCTATAGCTCAACTTTTTTATTTCTTTCAATCACATAAAACTTCAATAATGTCATAGAGAACTCAGGTCTGAAACTAACATGTTTATATATCTGTAGTTCAGATGATTAGAGTACGTGACTATGAACTATTGTGTTCAGGGTTCGAACCCTTCATTGCTTACATTAGGTTCAAAGGTACAGTACGTTGTGTTCGAACTTAAAATTTATTTTCAACTACATTTTCAATCATACTGTTTGGACAATTTTTTTTTACAATCTTGATTGATAATACACACTTGACAATATCACATTCATTTATTTTAAAAATTGTTTCTTAAATCAATGGTCCAGATTTTGACAACATCAATATTGTCAATCGCAATTGTGAACAACAATTATACAAATAACTTTATTCCTTAACACATGATTATATGACGGTACGTGAAATGAAAATGGTGTTCGATTAAGTTAGGTGTACCTGAACATTCCTTGTGTTTATGTATATAACCCCCACGGAATGGAATCCATAGGTATTGGTGCATTATCAGGATGGTCGCAAGAAAACAAGAGTAATGGACACGATTTTGTGTGTTACCTTTTGGGATTGCCTTTTTAAAACAGTAAATATTTTTATAGGGGACGGGTTCCTTAAGATTTGTATGATATTTAATAATTGGTGAAAGTTGTACTGCGATCCACACATTGTTGTCTGAGGCCCAACGTGCACTGCCATATACTTTTCGAGGAGCCAGGAGTCAGGAGAATCCTATGCTGCTGCATTTTCTCTTTTTATATCTGAATTTAGGACTGGTATGTTTCTACTCTTGTCAATTTTCTTTGAGTGATAAATATGGAACAAAATAAAAGTTTAGTAACGAAAATGACGTTCAATCAAAGTTGGGTGACTTATAGTGTTTGTTTTTTTATGTTTTATATATGGAGTCGGTTTAAATTCGAAATGAAAAAGAGAGTTATTTGTCAATACCTTTTTTTTTTTTTTTTTTCATAATCTATCTCAAATCTGAATAAGGAATGAGAATTTAAGTTGATTCATAATTTTTGTACAAGGGGTTGGCTGATGGAACGGGAGATGAGCCGAGATGCTCGGACTTGACATAGATAAGTTGGGGATGCAGAAGTGAATTCCCACAGCACGTTACTGTATTGTAAGTATAGTTTCAAATTATAGTTCTATATAAACAATATCATGTAACCATATTTTGAAGTTAGTAAATTTTTTGCTTCATACAGTGAACATATGCACATTGTCGACCCACTTAAATTTCATGTATCAGTATTATTGTTGTCTTCTTTTCTATTTTATTGTTCATGTTTGCACAACAAGTTGGTTGACAATTAGCATAAAAATTTGTTACATCACATGGTAGGAATATTATTACACGTCAATAGACATGACAATTAGGAGATTTGTCATGACATGCCTAATAATTATTGAAAATTGAACTTAATTTGTTGTTAGTTCGAATTATGGAAGAATGATCGACTATTAAATTAACACTTAGAAAAAAAAATTAATGAGTTGCATTTTGAGTCATGTTTAGGAAGGGTTATGCAAATATTCAAATTAAACAACCTTAGTTTTGAGCATATTTTCAAGTCTTAATAATATCAAAGTTTTAAACATTTATGGTTGTGACCTAGTTTTCATAATTCTCGATCAAAAAAAGGTAAGATGTATATAAGAATTAAAATATTCATGCTGAATTTTGAATTTCTCCTCGTGGCCTAAACATGAGATCGTGAATTTTAATCGAAATCGTGAATTACTACTAGTTTATTAATTAGCTATCTAGTGTGATATCTTGACTCAAAAAATTGATTGGCAGTAATAGAATAACGGGTTTTTGTTAATTAATAAGTTGTGGCTAAAATAAAGATTGAGTACAAGTATGCATCTTGATGGATTTAAAACCAGATATTCTTCCCTTACAAACAAGGAGATGGGCCCTCCTTTATGAGAGGAATAATTTGGCTATTTTTGTCAAATCTCGTTAAATGTCCCAAACATCAATTGAAAGAAACAAGGGCTTGATAATAAATAAGCTTAGATATTTGTTGGTCTAGAAGGCCATAATAGCTAGGGATGGCAACGAGTCGAGCCGAGCCGGCTCGCGAGCCGAAAATCAAGGCTCGGGCTCGGCTCGAGCTTTTTGAAGACGGGCTTTTTTTGGCCCGAGTCGAGCCGAGTAAAAGCCCAACCAAAAAATCAAGGCTCGGCCCGAGCTTTTGGCTCGGGCCTTACCGAGCCAAAACGGGCCGAGCCAAGCCGGCTCGTTTTTTTCCCACTTTTTTTTTCCTTAAAAGGTAGTTGATAGCTGCATTTACAAAGCATTTTTTCAAGAATGCATTTTTTTTAAAACTCATTTTCAACCACACATTTTTCTATAAAATAATTATACACGAATTTCAAAAACTTTTTCTTACTTTTTAACCACACATTCTCCAAAAAACTATTATTCCATAATTCATTTTTATCCCAAAAATGGGAATCAAACAGGGGCTAAGTCAAAGACATTTAATTATAGGCCGTTTAAGAATTCATTTAATACAATTTACATGCTCTTAGTTTATCAATATAAGTTGATTGAGTGGGTGTATCCGCAAATGTTAGTAGTAGGTCATTTCCAAGACATGTTAAACTCATAATATCATTATGTCTGTAAAGTTTAGGTTGGGGAAGCTAGATCAGTTTCACTGATTACTTGATGAAATGGGAAGGAATGGATTTTCCCCTGATTTTCATACATTTAATCTCCTACTCCATGTTCTCGGTAAAGGTGACAAGCCTCTGACAGCAATTAATCTTTTGAATCTCATGAAAGTAAGTTGGTACTAAACTGTTGCCTTTTAACTTCACTTTTCCCTTTTTTTTTTGGTGAGCCGGCCCGCGAGCCACACGGGCCGGCTCGGGCTCTGCCCGACACCCCAAGATGGGGCTCGGCCCGAGCCTAGGCTCGGTTTGACCGAGCCTCGAGCCGAGCGGGCTCGAGCTTTTTGCGGGCCGAGCCACGAGCGGTCCGAGCCCTCGAGCCTTTTTGCCATCCCTAATAATGGCTGACTTTGAATTTAATGGTTTTTTCATATATTAATTAATTCATAAATGTGAGTTTGCTTAGTTTTTGGTACAAGTTTATGATTTATATTTGCGGGTATTTTTAATTTGTAAGTCGTATAATATACACTGATATTCAATACAACTCTTACATGCATCATATTATGAAAAATTAATAGAGAGACTATACGGAGTGCAATGCATCGTGTATTTTGTAATGTTACAAATTTGAATAATGTATAATTTACGTTGTGATTTGTAAATTTGACTTCTTAGTATTACCACTTTTTCCGAATTACGTCTCAATATTAATGACTAGTACTATGTAGCACCATCAATCTATAAAATAACGTCATGTGCTTCCTTTTAAAATAATTTATCAATTAACGATATTTGAATACCCCTCGTGCTTAGCACTAGTTGTGTTATGTAACCCCTGAAAAGAAGTATAAACCTTGCAGACAAAATAGAAATTTATTTATTGATTTACATTCATCATGATTGGTGCGAAACAAGTCAAGTTTGATACTTCATTTTTCCTTTTATAAACAGTTATTGAGAATTTGAGATATACTTGTGTTGCGTGTACGTTGTACGCCAACTGGAACGAGCATGTTCTGCCCAAGCTAAAGACTCTCACTTATAAGTAAATAATAAATTTCCAAACAAAATGTCTTTATCAGTTAAAGTTAAAAATAATTTACTCATTTCATAGTAGGCTTAGTAGCTAGGAGTTCCTTTCAAAAGGCAAGTTATCAAACATATTTGAAGAAAAAAGTTACTTAATTTTTTAACCTTAGCAAACACACTCTAGACTTACAAAATTCAGGTATATTTTAAAAAAGTAGGAGTGAGTTTGGTTTGTCGTTTTCTATTTTTAATTTTCGAAAATGCCCAAAATGAGTTTGGTCTGTCGTTTCTGAAAACAAGGAAAAATTTATAATTGAAAACTCAAAACGATTTTTTTCCGTTTTAAGTGTTTTCAATTAAAAAACTCAAAACGTGGAAAATGCTCAAAACACGTCGTTTTATACTTTTTTTTTCTTACTCGGGCGATGCTCAGCAGTACTTTTAAAATAAAACGTTGTAATCTGATACACTTTAGTGAAGTATAATAATTTTAAAACTCACAACATTTTTCAATTTTCATTATTGTTTTTTTTCGTTGATCAAAATTTGAAAGAACTATTATTTCTTTTTTTACTGTCCAAGTGCAACAAAATACATCCAGAAGGATGAAGGACAGACTAGCTATTTTCTTTACAACAATTCTTATATTTGGTCTAAAATGTATTATTCATTATTTTATTTTAGTAGCAAGAAAGAATAGTAAATTCACCAAATTTAAAATATATATTATCTGATAATATATTAGTATAAAATTATTATTTTTACTAAATAATCAAATTAGTTGAATAAATGTCATAAAATAATTTCTAAAAAAATTATTATTTATTATTTTATTTTTATAGCAACAAAAAATAGTAAATTTACCAAATTTAAAATACATATTATCCGATAATATATTAGCATAAAATTATTATGTTTTACTAAATAATCAAATCAATTGAATAAATGTCATAAAACAATTTTTAAAATTTTTAAACCAAAACGCATTTTCTATTTTTCTATTTTGAGAAATTGTTTTTCAAAATGACAAACCAACCACATTTCTATAATTCGAAAATAGTAAACTAAAAATGAGTTCAAAACTGAAAATAGAAAACAGAAACGCAAACCAAATGCACTCTAAGTTTCTAGACTAAAAATTAAAGAAATTAACTTGTAAAAATGTCAAATATAATCGATAAAAAAAATTACATAAAATTTGCCTAATTTATTTTTTTTAAACTCATTTTCAATCACCTTCTCTTCGTAAAATAATTTTTTTTCCGGCATGTGAGCCCATAACTTCCACTATTTTCTAGCCATACAATATTTTTAAAAATTTCTTTTCACGAATCACCACTTAGAAAATCAAAATCAAACAAGAAATATAGGTATATGAACTTCATTTTATTACAAAATAGTTATTGAATATATGTTTTGTTATAATTGGGTCTTGAAAATAGTTTCATACATGCCCATTAGTTTAAATAACAATAAAGATGTACATGTAAATTCCTAAATTTACCTACCATTTCTAAAATCAAACTAATGAACTTGAATAGCCCTTGTTCGAGTCCCAATTTTTTTTTTTTTAAGATGTACTCTTAAATAGTATTTTGATCGCATTTCAACTATATATTCTTTAATAAAATAATATTACACGCAAATGTAAAAATTTTCTTATTTTTTAATCACACATTTTTTTATCAATATAGTATTGAGGGATCGAATTGTAATAAATCTTCAAGCTTGGTGAGTCGGTGACAACTTCGAACATGATAAAGTTTAACCATCAAAATAAAAATTATGCCAAAAGTTTAAATTTTTAGGACCACTCACAGAGATGGCGCGTAGTCCACAATTTTTACTACTAAAAATGCACTGATGGACTGTCCTGATGAATGCATTGAAGCCTTAACCAACAAAATCCTACATAAGAGGCCAACGCCTCCTCTGTCTCCCTCACCCACTTGCCGCACCCCTACGCTTCTCTCAAACCTGTGCATATATATATTACACACACCCATTGAAGCCTCCAATTTCACATTTTTACCTCATTGCTCCTCCTTTTACTCCATCCTTTTTTCAGGGATTTTCAGTAGAATTTAGACTGTTTTCCTGTACCCTCTCCCTTCCCCTCAATTTATTGATCTTCAGTCTTCTTCTCTACAGATAATTTTCAGATTTTTCTTGTTTACATATATATTAGTCATGTCTAATTCGTATCCCCAAAATTTGAACTTTTCTCCTGCAAGAAGTGTTCCTTCTCCACATATAAGGAGCAATACAGATGTTGAAAGGTACAGTTCATTTGTGTTTTGAGTTAAGATTCTTGATTTTTTAATTTTTTTTGTTTACTGTTAAAAAATCTGAAAATCCTGTTTAATTTTAATTCTTTAATGGTGTTTTCAAATTCTTCAGTCAGCACTTGACAGAGCTGCTAGCAGAGAGGCAAAAGCTACAGCCATTCATGCAAGTACTTCCTGTATGCAGCAGGCTCTTGGATCAAGGTTTGCACCTATGATCAAATTTTGGATCTGGTTTTCCAGTATTTTAGGCATTTCGATTTTGCTATTTGTTATGATTTTTTATTTATTTATTTTTTTTCTGGTTTTTGTGTTTAGATGGTTAGGCATATCATAAGTTAAATGATATGAATTTATATAGAACAGAAAATAAACTCATAGGTGAGCCATTTTTGTTTTTGTTTTTTGTTTTTTTGCTTCTTGAAATAGTTTGGGATAATTGAATTTTATTTTAGAATTGAATCTGCGTTTCTAAGATAACTGGGATTAATTTTTTTTTTTAAAACTGTTGCATTGTGCTTCTGTGATGAATTTCCAATTACCATTTCAACGTACATTTAGCATCTATAGCTAGCTACGGAAGCTTCTGCTTGTTCGGTTAATTCAATAGCTTTTTTCATTGCTTTTCGAAATGAAACTCTATTCTTTAATTGTCTGGCTGTAAAAGTGATTTGATTAGCAATAATAAAATTATGTTACTTTCTTTCAATGGCGTGGAACGTACTTTGGATAGTTGGTGGAAATTTTTATTCACATACATTTCGTGTCTAAAGCACGAGATTACCATTTTCTAGACTATTGTGTTACATTAAGAATATGACAAAAACATATTGGTCAAGAGAGTTTATTACATGCGTCACAAGAGTTGCCTTTTTCAATAAAGATTCTTCACGAGATAGAGCACAATCCATAAGCTATTTTGTTCTTAATTGATGGCTAGCCGTTAAATGTTTTAATGATATTTACTAATAATAGACTTATTTGATTTGGCATCAACGCTGAAAGTTTGTGGGAATTTTTTTCTCTTTCATTACATGTCTAAAGAAAGAGTGTGCTTTTTCCAAATCGATTCTTTTGTTATGCGTTAAGAGGACAACAAATATGTTGGTCAGGAGAACTGTATTATGTTTGTCAATAAAATTACAGCATAAAGTGCCCATTCTTCATGTAAAAGAGCAATTACGGTAGTTAAAGATTAAGTTCTACAGATTCATCTAATTCGACATTCCTTCTCATTTCCAAAGATAAATGAATCAGCTGCTTGTGGATGAGTCTATTTTTAATTCTGCAAAACTTATTTTATTTGTAGATTGATAGTGAGTGTGGAAGAAGCATCCTGAGAAAATTCTTCACATGTAATCTTGTGTATTAGAGTTTACTAACAATCTTAATTATTAATATGATAACAGAAATATTACGAGTTTCTGGAAAAATCTCTAGCCAAGGATTTAGTGACTATGATAGACTGCAGCGCGGTAGTCCTAGTCCAGTGGCCTCTTTGAACATGATGCCGGATGTTGGAGTAGGTTTAGGTAGCTGGAATGGAAATGGTTGGATCGGCATTCAGCCTGAGGTGAGCTGAAATTAATGGCTAACGTAATGTACTATTGTTTTATATCATCTTTAGGCAATATCACATTCTTCACACTGTTCTATGCAACTGATATTTTTCTTTTTAGTTGCTTGGTTGTATCTGATTTGATGCGTATGAACAAGTTTATCCATGTTGAACCTTGAACTTGAGTTTGTCCCAGCGGAAAAAGTGATATATTGGAGTTTTTGAACATGCATAACCATGTTTGGCGAAGCTTAAAACTCAGTCGAAGTTTGATATAAGTGATTACTTATTTTGGCAATAAGGTGGAATTACTTTCAAAATAAGTAACTTTTTTTTTTTTTTT